CCTCGGAAATGCGCGTCGGGCACCGCCTCCACCAGGCGGTGGCTGGTGAAGGGCTTCTTGTTGGGGTGGGTGGCCCGCAGGCAGCGGTCGCAGTAGGAGACCTCGCAGGTGATGCAGGTCTTCACGGCGTCCCGCGGGGGGTCCTGCTCGCAGAACTGGGGCTCTGGAAGGCGGTGATGGGCTCGATGGACTCGCTGGAGGAGCAGCTGGACACCAGGATGCGGTGGGCGCAGCTGAAGCAGAGGCTGTGGGCACAGGGCAGCAAGAGAGGGTCTTCGAATAACTCCAGGCAGATTGGGCAGGTCAATTCTGACTCCAGTGTTTCCATCTTTAGTTAAAACAATCCTGATTCAGCATCAAAATGCGGTGCGCGCAGTTGAAGCAGAGGCTGTGGGCACAGGGCAGCAAGAGAGGGTCTTCGAATAACTCCAGGCAGATTGGGCAGGTCAATTCTGACTCCAGTGTTTCCATCTTTAGTTAAAACAATCCTGATTCAGCATCAAAAGCCAGGGAAGGTGGTCTGGTACCTGGGAGAGAGGAGAGCAGAGACATGAGACAGCAGCTCTCCAGGGCAGCTCCTCTCCACCAGAAAGAGGGGCTGGGGGAGTCAGAAACATCACCCCGACACCCCTTGCACCCAACCCTGTCTCTCCAGCCCAGCGGGGCTCACACGAGCCCCTCACCACAGTGTCCACCCAAGCCAGGCCCTGAGCTGTGACCAGCACCCAGAGGTGCTGTGGGGCAGGAGAGAAGGACAGGAGAAGGGGCAGCAGCAGCAAGCTCTTCTGCACCACCTTCCAGCCCAGCCAGGGAAGAGGACAGCAAAGCTGGAGACAAAAACAGGAGAAACCACATGATTTTATGTTTCTTTTAGTAAGTGCTGCCCAAGACAGGAGCAGGGCACTGTGCTAGTTTTCCAGGCTCTGCTGCACAGCAAGGATAAACCTCTAAATAGCCCCTCCAGCAGCTACCCAGCCCCATCCCCTCTGATGAAGGGGAAAAGGTGAATCATGTCCTGGAAACTCTGAGCAAAGTGGGTCAGGAGCTCCGTGTACCCAGCTCCTGCTCTGCTCCTCCCAGCCATGGCCGGTCAGGAGCGGGATGGGGAAGGAGGAGCAGTGAAATGACAGTGGGCAAACTTCCATCTCTGCTGTTCTCTGCTGCACTCCAGCTACAGCCAGGGATGCCCAATCTGACTCCAGCTGGAGGCAAACCCGCTTGTATTTTTAGATCTCCTGCCCTGCACGAGGCTGGAAACGGGCTTTCTGTGAGCAACCAGACCCGCTGCCCTGCCCTTCCCAAGCTCCGCGTCTGCAGAGCACCGAGTGGCCTCCAGGCTGATCCCAAAAGCTGTCCCCTCCCTGCACCCGGAGCCACCGAGCTCCATCCCCACCAGGCTGCAGGACAATCCTCCAGGGGCTGGAGGACGAGCTGAGGCAGCACACGGACACCCCCACCTCAACACAAACC